CGTCGCCACCGCTGGCTTCGCCTCGAAATCCTAGTCAGAACGCACTCCGGGAGAGATCCAGGGAGCAGCGGTATCAGTGCTTTGTGGTTCCCCCAAATCCGCCAGTGCCGCCGCAGCTGTGCTTTCGAATTCGGCAGCGCCTCTCCCCACGCCCTGCGGGGTGATCTCCTCCCTAGTGCCGTCCGACGACGATGAGCAACAAGCCTTGGGAGGCCCAATCCAGCATCCGGCGCTGGCAGATCCGAGGCCGAACACCAGGCTGCCAGTTCGGCCCAGTCCCAGGCCCAATCTGGCTGCCAGCGGCTCAGTCCAGCGCAGTCCTGGGCCAAAGCTGGCTCAGAGAGCCCCTCGTCTGGCGCATGTCGTCTTCGCCCGAGCACCCCGCCCATGATCCCCAAGGGGGCGACGCGCGCGCTCAGGTATCTATTACAGTCTGTATGTATATTCTCCCTGGCGGGCGCTCCCTCGCCACACAGCTGGGGCAGCGATACATGATACAGTGGGAACCCACGCCAAGAAACACCCTGCTCGCCTCCAGGGTGCCCTGGGTTTCTTTGGTTTCGGTGGCTTTGCGATGGAAAGCGTGACGTCCCCACACCAGAGATCAATGAACAGCCTGGAGTCTCAGGGTTGGGTTTCTTGCGAGGGTTTCTAAGCTGTTGTGCTGCACGATCTGGCCGGATGCGCGCCTCTCAGGAGGACGCGCCGCAGCAGAATATATATATATATATATATACACATCTATATATATATATATATATATATGTATATATATATATATGTATATGTATGTGTGTATATATATATATATATCGTTCTGCGTCCCAGGGGTCGCCCTCGGGCGTTCTCACGGCAGGCTCACGCCGTCATGACCGGCGGTGGCCCAGAACCGGCCGATGCTGAACGATCGGGCACGTCGGAAACGGCCGACCGTTCAGGGCGGAGCGAGCCCCGCGGCGTCAGAAACCAACGCCGAAGTCGGCACGACACGAACGTGCCGCACAGTCGGAGCGAGGTATGAGACCGAGGTCGGGTGGGGGAGAATGCCCCAGTGCTCTTCGTGCTCGTCGGATGTCCTCGTGCGCCCTGGGGAGGGATGTTCAGTGTGTTTTGGAGGGCGGAGGTCTCATGTTCCCAGAGATCCAATGTCGTGATTTTTCCATACGGGGCCCCCTGAAGTCTCGACCCATTCCCTGGGACCGGTTTCTCTCATCGCATCGCATCGCCAGCGGCACAAAAGCTGTCTGAACTATCACGGGGCGCCTTCACACCTCGTGGCAAGCATCTGGACGCCTGTTGAAAGCTGTGGCCGAAAAAGTTTGGTTTCATCATGGTTAAATCAATGAGTTGACGCTCTGGCCGAGAGGCTCTGCAGCAGCACTCACGATGCCGCGTGGCCGGCGCCCTCGTCCCCCGAGCGGCTCGCGGCCTGCCTCGGTGGGAGAGGGCGACCCTTTAGTGGTGCACTCAAAACCCTTCCCCCCTACCGCCCTCAGAGCACAAAAGACAAATTATGCTGGGCAATGTGCTGGACGTATGATATATTTGGAGGGGTAGCCTGAGCACGGGAGCGCCAGTACTGTCGCCATTGGAACAACTTCCGCCAGACATCAGAGATGACCTGCTCGTCGTAGTAGTGGGCCAGCTGCTCCTCGGTAGTAATGTGCCAGCTCCGAAATGTTGTTCGTCCTGTGAGAAAGAACTGGCGTATGTGGCGTCTGATGCTGCAGTTACCACGCTGAAAATATTCTTCTGGATAATCCACCTCAATCGCTTCGACCAGTGATTGCTCAGGCACTTCGATGAAGCTGGCCGCGTCCGACTCGGGTGAAGAGTCGGACACCCTCGCCTCCACCTCCATCGATGTCGTCTTTCGAACGTGCTGGGGACTTGGGACCCCAGTCCACAACAGAAGAAGCAACAATATAATCATCCATGGGGTACAAACATGCTGGTGCGGATGTCAGATGAACTTCAGTATCAATGGTGAAACTTGAGTGGAGAGGCTTCGGTTTCTCTCATCCTGAGTCGTTGTTTGACGGTCCCGAGGCCCGGTAAGGGCCCCCAGAGGCCGAACATATGGAAAAACTTCCCGTCATTTTCTTGTCATTGCCCGAGGGGGTCTGGGTTCTTGGGGGGATGTTTTTCTGGCCTAGGTCCGACCGTGCGAAGAGCTGCCGGGAGTCTTCCTCCCAATGGCAGGCGGCGCCCGGAGCTGCGCGCCGCGCGCCGAGCCGAGCGCGGGCGCACGCGCCCTCGCGCCCCGAGGCCTGCCAGACGGGACGTACTGCGTGCGGTGCCTGGTGTGGCGGCAGAAGGAGTGCCGCGGGGCGCGCGCGCGGGGTGTGGGGAGGGGAGGGGGAGGCGGCGCCGGCGGCGGAGGAGGAGGAGGAGGAGGCGGAGGAGAAGGAGGAGGAGGAAGAGGAGGAGGAAGCGCGGGACGAGGAGGATGAGGAGGGCGGGGAGGGGAGCAGGGGTGGAGGGGGGCACGGGCGAGGAGGAGAAGGAGGAGCACGAGCGTGCGGTGCCTGGTGTGGCGGAGCAGGAGCACCGCGAGGCGCGCGCGTGGGGGGGGGAGGGCGGCCCGACAGGCGGGCGCTCCGTCGCCTCGTAGGGGCCCTCCTGCATGACGTTCGGGGCGGCGGAGCGGGAGGGGCAGCGGGAGAAGGGCGGGGGCGAGAACCCTGCAGCTGCACACCAGGCGTGTTCGCCCTGCTTCGGGCCCCCGGGGCCCTCACAGATCCTTAGCACCGCTCGGACGTGTGCGTGCAGGTTTTTCTCGGCGAGGACCGTCGAGGAGCCTCTTGGCGAATCTCGCAACATCAAAAGAAACGCAAGTAGCCGAAAAACGCACAGGGAATTGACGTCCGAGCGATGGCAAGGATCGATGTGGCTCGACAGATGCCGCAGAGGGTTGGGGTCCAGGCTTCGGCTCCGGTCGATTTGTTTCGCGGTGTTGCAGCTTTTGTTGCAACGCCCCCTCTCAGGGACAGGAGGAGGGCAAGACGGACGAGGATGATGATGATGATGATGATGATGATGATGATGATGATGATGATGATGATGATGATGATGATGATGATGATGATGATGATGATGATGACGAGGAGGAGGAGGAGGAGGAGAAGCTCAGAAGCAGGCGGGGGGAGGGAGGAGAACGAGAGGGAGGATGAGGATGGATGAGGATGGATAGAGAGGAGAGGAGGGAGGAGGAGGATGAGGATGAGGATGAGGACGAGGACGAGGATGCTGATGATGCTGATGATGATGATGGATTGATGATGATGATGATATGATGATGATGATGATGATGATGATGAGGATGAGGAGGAGGAGGAGGAGGGGGAGGAGGAGAGACGAGCGGAGGGGGAGAGGGAGGGCAGGAGGGGAGGAGGGGGAGGAGGGGAGGAGGAGGGAGTGGGAGGAAGAGGGAGGCAAGGAGGAGGAGGAGGGATGAGGAGGAGAGGAGGAGAGCAGGGAGGAGGAGGAAGGAGGAGGAGGTGGCTGCGTCCACCCCCTGGAGGATGCCACCAGCCCGAGAGAAGGAGAGGAGGTGGAGGAGGAGGAGGAGAGAGGAGGTGGAGGAGGAGGATGAAGAGGAGGAGGAGGAGGAGGAGGAGGAGGAGGAGGAGGACAGGAGGGAGGAAGAGGAGGAGGGGCAGAGGGGCCACGCCCAGCCCGGCGCAGGAGAGGGAGGAGGACTGAGGGCGAAGCCTCTCCCTCCCTCGCTCCCTCTCCCCTCTACAGGGGGGCTGGACATGTGGCCGGGGCCAGCCCTTCCACTTTCTGCACGCCTGGCCAGTTTTTCTTCAATGTTTCCAGCCCTGGGGACCTCATCCCAATTTCTTCGTGCATGTCGCAGCCCTTGATGGGTTTTCCGACCCTGGCCACTTCCACTTCGACGGAATTCCCAACTTCCATTTTTTCCACCAGCGAGCGGCAGGCCAACCTTCAGAATATAGAATTTGGGGTGTTCAGATGTGTGCAGTGTTCCACCTTGCTTCTGGGGCCCAGGCCCCCCCGCGCCGACCTTCAAGGGTCCAGTTCCAGCGGATCTGCGCGTTTCGCCTCGCTTCTAGACATAAAAAGATGGTCCTCGGCCTCCCTCCCGTGTCTCGGCGCTGCGAGCGCGGGCCCGCGGCGCGCGCGGCGTTGTGGCTTCGGACTGGGGACGCCGTGCGATGGTGCTGCGCAGCGCAGCACAGAGGGGTGGCCCGGCTGTCTCATTCGTCGGAAACTGGAGCATGTACATCTAGGCCTCCTGGATGCGGTCGGAGTAGATGGGGTCGGAGGATCGAGCCGCATCGCCGATGCATTGGCGAGGCGGCTCGATGTGGAGCCCGATTTGCTTCACGTCGAGGTCGCCGATGCATCGCCGACGTCGGCGGTCGCCGGTGCATCCCCGATGCATCGCCGATGCGGCGCGATCCTCCGACCCGATCTACTCCGACCCCATCTAGGAGGCCTCTAATACATTACCAGTGGCGGGCTGTTTTGCAATGCCAGAGCTTCTCTCAGGATCGGGGACTACGTCGGGGTGGTGTGGTGCATCCTGTCGTCCACCGTTCTCCCAGAGAAGCAGCGAAGGGTGTATACACCATGATCCCGTATACACCAGGATCCGCATTCCTGGGCGAATTTCAGTGCGGGGCCGGAAACAGTATCGGTGTATAGAGTTAGGCTCCTCAATTTAGACACCAGCCGGCCGCCACCAGCAGACGCCGAAGGGTAGCGGGCTTCGGTGAGGAGGAGGAGGAGGAGGAGGAGGAGGAGGAAGAGGCGGAGGATGAGGCGGAGGAGGAGGAGGAAGAGGCGGAGGGGGCTGCGAGCAGCAACGTTTGCGTACCGTATCGCGCCGCCGGTTCTCGCCTCACGCTTCGGGGCTGCACGCTCAGCACCGGCCAGTCCCCAGGCAGCGCCTTTCCAAGTGTTCCCCGGGCTCCCGCCCCACGAGGCACAGTGACACATCACCAGTTTGAAACGTGTAGCGTGTCGCAGGGGCCGCCGCCGCGACTCGCCAGGCAAAGACTCGTGGCCGTGACCTCGTGGCCCACATGGCTCTCGGTGGCCCGCAAAGTGGGCTCCAAGCCAGCTCCAATCCATGGCTGCAAAAGGCCTCCCCGAGGCTCCCTACATTAGGATGCAGCTCCTGGGAGGTCAAGTTCAGCATCAGCGCGGGCATTGAGGTCAAATAAGTTCAGCCCCGCTTAATTCCGTCATCCTGGGCGCAATGTGGCTTTTCGGTCGGGCCTACTACCCCTGACCCATTCTTAGGAAACAACGAGCGGCCTGCTAACGCGCAGGCCCTGCCGTGTAGGGGGTGGGGGGACGAAGAGGCGGAGATGATGCGAGGACAAAGACGAGAAGCAAGCAACGCCAAATTCTCAGCTGACGCGGGCGCGCAGAGCCGAGCGAGGCCGCCCCGAGCCGGGCAGGCACGACGCTCTTGGCGCACAGCGGGGCGCTACGGAAACGCTGGGCACGAGGGCCACAGATCGGCCGCTGGTTGGGCCAGTGTGAGATACAGTGGAGGTCAGTCCACAAGAAAGCTTTCACAAGAAACTCAACCCTGAGAACCCATGACGTCCATTCATTTTTTTTGTATGGGGACGTCACGCGTTCCATAGCGAAACCATGGAAGCCCAAGAAACCCAGGGCACCCTGGAGGCCAGCAGTGTGATATCGCGACGCGGGTCGACGCTTTACCCTAGCATCAAGTGGGCGAATGTACCCCCAGCCCACCAGGGAAGGAGCCTCCAGGAGACGACCCGGTGAGTCCCCCCCGTATCTTCCGTGCCAGCTTTTGCCTCGGGAAGCGGAAGCTGAGGTTGGAGCGGCCGAGCGCAAGCCAGGTATGAACCCCTCGCCACACGTACGCGCGCGTCTCGGCGCAGGCAAGTGCGAAGCGTTGCGCCCTATGCGGCGCCTGGCGACACAACGCGCCCTGCACGGTGCCCTGCCGCGGGAAGGCAGGCACTCGGCCCCGCGGGGACGTGACCCCCCGAGCCTTGACCCGCGGCACAGTAGGCGCCGACGAAGCCAGGCAAGGCCGCCTGCGGACCACTGCAAGCACAGTCGGCAGAGGCAATGCTGTTTGTGTCCTTGATGAGCGAAGCATCTGCGTCTCTAGATCACCCATTGTCCGAAAGGCTTCGCCTTCCTCCTAATAGGACCATGTATTGGCACGGGTCTACACTGTGCGGCCGAGAACGTTGGCTCAGCGTGTCGTGCCGCCGGTCAGAGCGACGCGCTACCCGCTCGCAGGGCAGCGGGTAAGCCAGGGCCGCCGCCGCGACGCGCTAGGCAAAAAGTCCCGACCGTTCACGTACTGTTTTGGGCCCCCTCACAGCAATACTTTGGCTGCTGCCGGGGGCGGGCAGCCGATGATCGAAATGGGGAAGGCGGCGAAGAGAAGTAGTGACGGTGATGTGGAGGAAGAGGACGAGGACGAGGAGGAGGAGGAGGAGGAGGAGGAGGAGGAGGAGGAAGAGGGGGGAGGAGGGGGAGGAGGAGGAGGAGGAGGAGGAGGAGGAGGAGGAGGAGGAAGGAGACGGAGGAGGGAGGAGAGAGGAGGAGAGGAGGAGGGGAGGAGGAGGAGAAGGAGGAGGAGGAGAGAGGAGGAGGCGGAGGAGGAGAGGAGAGGAGAGGAGGAGGAGGAGGAGAGAGGAGAGGAGAGAGGAGAGGAGAGAGAGAGAGAGAGAGAGAGGAGAGAGAGGAGGAGGGGAGGAGGAGGGAAGAGGAGGAGGAGGAGGAGGAGGAGAGGAGGAAGAGGAGGAGAGGGAGAGGAGAGAGGAGAGAGGAGAGAGGAGGAGAGAGAGAAAGAGAGAGAGAGAGAAGAGGAGGAGGAGGAGGAGGAGGAGGAGGAGGAGGAGGAGAGGAGAGAGAGGAGACGAGGAGAGGATGATGAGAGGAGGAGGAGGAGGAGGAGGAAGAGGAAATAATAAGAAGAGAGAAGAGAGGAGAAGAAGAGGAGGAGGAGGAGGAGGAGGAGGTGGAGGAGGAGGGAGGAGGAGAGAGGAGAGAGGAGAGAGGAGAGAGGAGAGAGGAGGAGGAGAGAGGAGGAGACAGGAGGAGGAGGAGAGGAGGAGGAGGAGGAGGAGAGGGAGGAGGAGGAGGAGGAGGAGCAGGTGGAGGAGGAGGGGGGGGAGGAGAGAGGAGAGAGGATAGAGGAGAGAGGGGAGAGGAAGAGGAGGAGGAGGAGGACTAGGGAGGAGAGAGGAGGAGAGGGAGAGAGGAGACGAGGAGGAGGAGGAGGAGGAGGAGGTGGAGGAGGAGGAGGAGGAGGAGGAGGAGAAGGAGGAGGAGGAGGAGGGAGGATGGAGCAGAGAGGAGAGAGGAGACAGGAGAGAGGAGAGAGGAGAGAAGAGAGAGGAGAGAGGAGAGAGGAGAGAGGAGAGAGGAGAGAGGAGTGAGGCGAGAGGAGAGAGGAGAGAGGAGAGAGGGTAGAGGAGGGAGGAGAGAGGACGATATTCTCTAGCTCAACGTATTTCGGGTGCACACGAATGAAGAGCTTCACCTGGTTGGAATTGTACATCTTCTGCAACTTGCAACATGGGA